ATAAAAATGATGATATGGTCAAAATACTCACTTGCCTAATAATTGTGCACACAGTGTAGTTAGGAATAACTATTTATTTATTTGTTTTATTTTTTATCACATTTATATGGCTGCCCATCTCACAAAGGGTGACTTGAGCAGCGTACAACAATCAATTAAAACAATAAATACATAAAGCAATCATTATTAAAAATATAAAGCAATCATCATTAAAAAATAAAACCACACAGCACAAGAGACAGTGAATCAGCCACAGTGATGGAGCCATCATAAGATTTCACCAGTCCCCGGGGACCCCCAAGCCTAATGACAAAGCCAGGTCTTGAGGGACTTTCTGAACATTAGCAGGGATGGAGCTAACCTCATTTCTGGGGGAAGAATGTTTCATAAGGTGGGCGTCACAGCAGAGAAGTCCTGCCTCCTGGGACCCACCAAGCATAGATCCCTAGCAGACAGAACCCGCAGCATGCCTCCTCTATCAGACCTGAGGGGATGGGCAGATATATTGGGGAGAGGTGGTCCCTCAGATAACCTGATTGCATGCCATGAAGGGCTTTAAAGATTAAAACCAGCACCTTGAATTGGATCTGGAAGCAAACTGGCAACAAACGCAGCTCACGGAGCAGAGGTGTAACATGCTGTTCTAGAAGCACACATAACTGCTCACGGCACTGCATTCTGCAGCAGCTGAAGCTTCCAGATACTCTTCAAGGGTAGCCCCATGTAGAGCACATTACAGTACTTCCAATCAGGAAGTGACTAGGGCATGAGTGACTGTGAACAGAGCCCCCCAGTCTAGGAATAGGCACAACTGGCATACAACACTAAACTGTGCAAAGGCCCTCCTAGCCATGACTGCCACCTGCTCTTCAAGCAGGAGTTGTGAGTCCAGGAGGACCCCCAGACTGTGCACCAGGTCTGTCTGGGGCAATGCCACCCCATCCAGCACCAAAGATGGTGTAGTTCTAGAACCAGCAGGCCCCAAACCCAAAGCCACTCAATCTTGCCAGGGTTCAACTGAAGCCTGTGGTTCCCCATCTAGACCCTCACAGCCTTCAGGTGTCAGGATAAGACATTCACAACATCGCTTAATTAATAACTATGTTTTTAGGGTGGGGGAGTGGCAAAAGGACATTTTTTAAGATGTAGAAGCTGGCAATATTTTTGATCTGAGACTAAAAAGAATTTTCTGGGCACTCTATCGTCTGTAGTTATCTAAGATCAGTCGGAGCTGGAAGATGCTGAAGTGGATAGGGTGTTCTGACATGTTAGTCCAATCACCTGTGGATTTGATGCCTGTCCCACTTGGCCAATGAAAGCTTCCAGGAAGGACACAGGAGGCTCCATTCAGGCAGTGATGAATACATCCTTGAGAGAGGAACACTTGCTTCCTGCCCTAAAAGCAGCAGTGGTATGTCCCCTCCTCAAGAAGTTATTGCTTGATTTGGTTATTTTAGATAACTATTACCCAGTCTCCAACCATCCCTTTGTGGGGAATGTTGTAGAGAAAGTAGTTGGCTGGCAATTACAAGGAATCCTGGAGGAAATGGATTATATGGATCAGTCAGGATTCAGGCCTGGGTACAGGAAAGAAACTATATTGATGGCCCTATTAGATGACCTATGGCAAGTGGTTTCAGGTGGAAATGTTCTCAACTGAGATGAACTTTTACTAGTCTTGAAAAGAAATTTCCAAAGGGGTCTTAAGAAAACTGTGCTGACATCTCTCAGCTCAGAACATGTGGCCATGCTGTTTTGCCATATGTGTGCAAACTAAGAGCCTAGAATAGCACAGTGTACATGCACAGACTGCTAACTTTCATGATGTACTTGCCTGCCAAAATGCCACCAATGACTTGATGGGGGAAATGAGCAAGTATGAAGATGCGTGACAGTCCAACAGCCAGCAAGAGGAGGAAATAAACCTTAAAGGGCACTGCCTTCATGATCCAGCTGTTGAGGTAAAATGGGAGAAGAAAAATGGCACACCAAATAACTCCATACGTGGATTGAGAACTCTCTCTCTTGCCTCTCCCAAAAGCATACAGCCTTAGAGCTGCCAGGTCCCAAATTACAAAGTGTGTTCAAATTAAGGAAAAACAGGACAAAGGATTTTCTACACATATGTATGCGAGAGATGCCTAGCTAAGGTTGTTCTGCAAATGGAAATTGCAGTTCATTGGGCCTAGAAATACCTTGAGAAGAAGCAGGCATTTCTGCTGCCTTCACTACTGCTGATAAGTTAGTAAAATCTTGATGGGAGCCTGCTCACAACTGCATCAGCTGAATCCAGAGAATCCAGAAGCTCATATTCTCACTCCTTGTCTGCAAGCATTCACTCCTGGATTGCTCCTACTTTAGAGGACTAGTGAGGCCAATTCTACCAACAGAACTGAAAGAATCACAGGAATGTACCAGAAAAGAGCACCTCACTGTTCATCCTTCCTCAAATGCAGGGGTTCCTGTCTGTTTGAAAGCCAAGGGCTTTCCTCTATTTGGAACACTATGTCCAGTTCTGGAAATCTTGTCTCCAAAAAGCAGTATCGTAGCTGGAAAGATTACAGAATCTGCAGCCATAACAATCAAGGGACTGGGGTACCTTCAAAACCAGGGGACAAAAAGATGTCTCTTTTTGTTTTCTGGGGGTGGGGGGGAGGGAACCAGGCACAGATGATAGTAACAGTTCATAAAAAGTTATAACTGACAAATGTGCATAGATTTTGAGGTTGCCT